AGCAAGCTCTCTTGTTCCCATTTTACAGGTAGGAATCTGGAGACCAGAGAAGTTAACGGAACTGGTCCAAGTTTGCCTAACTAATGATTGGCAGAACCTTCCATCAGACCCAGGCTGGTTTGGGCCAATACATTAGATCTCTCACTGTACTTCAACCCTGTGAAATAGGAATGATACTGTTAATAATAGCCATTCGGTATGACATTAGGAAAATCAGAAGTAACTTCTATAGAGCTACTAGCACAAAAACAATAGCCACAAGATGCCCTAAACAAATGGTAATCATTGCTATTTTTAAAATTTTCATAAGTGAAACTGATATACCAAGACAGATAAAAATGAGAACATCAAGGGGAAAGGTAATATATTCATTCTGCTCCCTTCATGTGCACGTTTGCTTGGTTTTCTTTTTCTTTCTTTCTTTCTTTCTTTCTTTCTTTTTTTCTTTCTTTTCTTTCTTTCTTTCTTTCTTTCTTTCTTTCTTTCTTTCTTTCTTTCTTTCTTTTTTGATTAAAGAGCCATAGAAAAATTTAATTTCCAAAGAGCAGTAAAGAGAATTTCCATTTTCAAAACATGATTAAACTTTTCAGTGGCTTAAAGCTAATAAATCTGTGGCCTAACCACTGTGAAGGCTACAGAACAGAATGAAAAATAAAGAAGTCCAAATTTAACTTTCTTTAGTTTTCCTCTTTCTCAAATGGAAGATTTTATTTTATGTTTTAATTTATTGTCAAGTTAGCTAACATACAGTGTATACAGTGTGCTCTTAGTTTTCGGGGTAGATTCCATGATTCATCACTTATGTACAACACGCAGTGCTCATCCCAACAAGTGCCCTCCTCAGTGCCCATCACCTACTGGGAAAGGGAAGGGGGAAAAATAGTTTCAAACAGAGAGGGAGGCAAACCATAAGAGACTCTTGAATGTGGAGAACAAACTGAGGTTGATTGGGGGTGGACGGATGGGTTTTCTTTTCTAAATAGGCAGAGGTTCTATTTTAAAAAGGTGTTATATTATTTCTTTGGTGACTGAGCAAAGGATAACCAGCAACATTGGATGAAACAGCTAATATAATATAGTAATACTTCTCAAATTACAACAAAAACCAAATAGATAGCATGAAAATATTTTTTTAATTTTTATCAGTTCAGGGTTTAGTGTTATCTAGGCAGATTTGTTAAACTCAGAATTTCTGTATGCATGGTTTTGTCTTAAATTCGGAAATGTAAGAGAAAACATAATGGTGCTAAATTTGAACATAACTATACTTTGCCACTAGTTTCCCATGAAGCTTTTATTCAATGAATAGTTCACGAAAAGAGCTGCAGTCTATGAGCTTTGGCCAAGTTTCCCCATTTCCAATTTTGCAACACAAACTTCACACTTTTTTGGTTATTCTTGTGGGAGGAATCAGAATGCCAGAAGTCACCTTGGTCAAAGCTACCTTATCAGAGAAAAATGAAGTGTAGATTTTTGTTTCCCTTTAGACTTTCCTCATGTTTCAAAGATGGGAGTCATTTCAATACACTGAACTAGACTTTGGGATTTTTATTTCATTTTTCATTGGGCTGATTTTTTGGTGTTAGTCGCCAAAATGACTCCAGCTATTTGAAGGTATCTGGGATGATTGGCATTGTTCTGTTAAATTTAAAAAAATATTTTAGTTAACAAATCATCTTTAAATCATCTTTTTAGTTACCCAAAATAGTATAATTAAAATCAATTGTATGTGAGCTTTTCTTATTGAACTTCGTGTCTCTATTAAATACATTATTGAAACCCATGCTTTCAGGTCTTTAGGTTGAAGTATTAGCAAAATAGTTGACTGAAGTAAAAATAATGAAGCAGCTTCCTGGTCATCTTATTAAAGATGAAAATATTAAGGTAAACTGAAGTCTGAACATTATGATCAGTCTGTTTTCATAAATATCATCTTATACCTCTACCACTATTTTTAAAGAAGGTAACCTAAAATAAAGAGCCATTGAAGGTTGTGCATGTAGGGCAAGTTGCAGACCTTGAGCAGTTGTTTTGAACATTCCATTGTCAAATTTCTTATAAGTAAAATGGAGGAGGGGAGTGGAACTAAATAAATGCTTTAATTCTTTATACTTTTAAGAAATATAGGGGCTCCTGGCTGGCTCAGTCAGCAGAGCATGTGACTCTTGATATTGGGGTTGTGAGTTCGAGCCCCATGTTGGGTGTAAAGATTACTTAAAAATAAAATCTTAGAAGAAAAAAAAAAGTACAATAGTTCTGTGCACGGTTTATTTATATAAACGATTCTATAGGGCACTTTACCTTAAAGGTAACTCGAAGTGGGAAAGATGCCTTTTTACCGTAAACAATGGTCCATTTCTTGTTAATAAGATTTTCATCGTAGCTAAAGACTCTGGGGGTACCTGTGTGGTTCAGTTGGTTAAGTGTCTGACTCTTGGTTTTGGCTCAAGTCGTGATTTCGCAGTTCGTGAGTTCAAGACCTGCATCAGGCTCTGTGCTGACAGTGTAGAGCCTGTTTGGGATTCTCTCTCTTCCTCTCTTTCTGCCCCTTCCCCACTCACTCTCTCTGTGTCTCTCTGAAAAATAAATAAACTTTAAAAAAATAAGTAAAGAGTCTTCATTTGACTGCAACACCAAAAAAAATAGAAATCGTATAGTATAATATATATCAAAACCTTTTTTTTAAACCCAAAGATACTGTTTACGCAGGCATACTTAAGAATTTGAGATCCGTGATCTTATTCTTATATCTTTGAGCTTGATCATAATTCATAGTCCAAATAGCCTCCTTATACATGAGCAGAATTACCAAAGAGATGTCCTTATCTCCCAGAAGAAATATCAACTAATTCTGCCCAAATCGGGGAAAAAAGGTGACATTTGGTGCCATCACATAGTGTTGATGTAATGGTATACGTGTTTAAAGTTAATGTAGCAGAATATAATTAAAATTATACTATATATAATTCCAGAAGAACTTAACTTCAATTGTTTTAAAATACAAAATGATTTGATATTGTGGGTCAGAGTTTATTTTCAGTACATATAGTGATTTCCGAAACCTGGGAGTAATACATAGTACACTTAGCTTGTGTTAATACCAACTGACCAGACAGCTGTCAGGCTAACAGCCTGGGCTGTAGATAATATCATAGTAGGTATAGTAGTTGTATTGTGCTCATTTTGTGTTTGGGATGAGATGATCTGATTTTCAGTTTCTCCTTTCTCTAAACAGTAAGGTTTCTTTCATCTCTTTATGCTGTTCTGAAGACCTGCTTCCTCTAAATACATTCAGTAATATTTCCCAGACGGTTTATCAGTTGTATAGTTCTCAAGAAAATGCTGGGTTTTGCTTAACAGAACTTGAGGGTATTGATTTGTTTGGGGGTTCCCAGGTTAAGGTTTATTCTTTGTCTCTTAAAGAAAATTGAAAAGATTTCTTCCTTATTGTAAGTCCTGTGGAAATAAAGCAAACAGACATTCATATATTTTAAATGTGAGGAGAAGTAAAAAATAAAGTGAAATATAGCCCATGTAATATGGGGCTTATATCCCTCCATGACTTGGGAAAAATCCTTGTTTTCTAAAGTGTGCCTAGGTTTTTTTCTGGTTTGTTTTTGTTTTGTTCCATCTCTAGGACCTCCCAATTTTCAAGGGCACTGTGGGGCATATGTAGCATTTATTTGATGTATGTATGTGCGTGCATATTTTCCCACATCTGTCTCTGTGGACCTATCCTTTGTGAAATCCTAAACCTTGTATTAATGCTTAGTTTGTGATTCATGGTGTTCTGAGAGCAATTATATAATTTTTCTTAGGGTGTTTATTCGATGTGCACTGTAAAAAAATGGGAGTATTTTTTGGTAACTCTGCAGTAGCCTTTTTATTGGTGAATTTCTCTTTCTTTTACTGTGACCTGTGAATATTACTGTAGGCTCACTGCCAATTTTGTGAGCCGCTGCCTGCTTCAAAATGGAGGCAGGAAGGTATCCATTTTCATCAAGAGGATGACAGTGTTTCAGTCTCTCCGACCATCTGGAGAGAGGAACTTTTGGAGCAAAAGAAAATAGGGATTTAAAAAAAATCATATTTGCAGAAAAGGCAAGGGGGGAACCAATTAAAGTTAAACTATACCTTATGAATTTATGCTTTTCCACTATGCTCTCTTCTTTAAAGGAAACATAAACAAGAATATACACAGGCTATTTTTATAAAGGACTGGTTCTCCAAGTCTCATGAGTATTAGTAAACGAATGTTTAGTAAATTAGGATTTTGGCACACTTTTTTTTAAGTTTATTGCACACACAAAAATAATAAGAACTATAAAGGAGTGCCCCCCTCCCTTCCTGTGTACATGCTGATTGTTGGTGGTCTGTGTAGATCCGGGCTTTTAATGGCCTTTTTTCATGCAGCTCTGCAAAAAGCTGACACTATGGGAATTTAATATTCCAAGATGTATTTGTCACTTTCTGTGGTCTGGATAGTGTATTCGTTTTCTGGGTCTCTGTCTCTTTCTCTCAGAAGTAAAAATTATAATTGAAAGCTCAAGTAAAATGGAGAGACTTGACACATGCCCTCCCCTTTTCACCTTTCATGTGCTCAGCGGCCGTCTATGTTTAAAAACAAACAAACAAACAAACAATAACAACAACCAAAACAAAAAAAACAACAACAGAAAACGGTTGCTTGGACAGGACAGCCCTGTGGGTATCATATAATATATTTAACAAGACATATTTCACAGTATTCTTGCCTATGACTGGAAAATATCCCCCCACCCTGGTTTTCCAGTCACACAAATATACTCAGCATTTGGTGGTGGTGGTGGTGGTGGTGGTTTTTCTGTATTCTGAAAGAGGTAGTGTTCTAGCGTTTGATAAGATTTGGAATGGACGTGATAGAAATTTAGCATTTTTGTGCCTGCTTCCTCTCAAGTAATGGACCTTGAGGTTCTGGGGTCAATGCAGCAAGGAAAACTGAATTGTCTCTCCTTCCTCAGGTCTATGCTCCGTCAGCAAGCACTGCCGACTACAATAGAGACTCGCCAGGCTACCCTTCCTCGAAACCAGCAGCCAGCACCTTCCCTAGCTCCTTCTTCATGCAGGGTAAGACGCTGCCTCTTCTGCGGGGAAATCCACTGCGCAGAATCTCCCCAGGTCTTTTCAGGTCATGCATGGGGCAAAAGACTGCTGAACCAATCCTCAAGAAAATGGCATCCTAGGCAAGCAGAGAATATTGAAGGTCATGCCCTTCTTAGGAATTGAATTCATTCAAAATTAATCAATTAATTAAAACTTTACGAAGACTTATTTTTTTTAAACTAAGGCCCCTAGAGCAATGATGAGTTAAGATAAAACTCGTTGGCTTCACTTTGAACTGACGCTTTGGGGGATTGGTCTTCATGACGGATCATTTCAGCTTCTTCACTCCCCAAGAAGAACGAGTGTGTATTTTTTTTTTTTTTTTTTTTTTTTTATTTCTAGGAGAGAGAGAGAGACAGCGTGAGCAGGGGAGGGTCAGAGAGAGAGGGAGTCACAGACTGAAACAGGCTCCAGGCTCTGAGCTGGCAGTCAGCACAGAGCCCGACGCGGGGCTCGAACCCACGAACCGCGAGATCATGACCTAAGCGAAAGTCGGACGCTTAACCGACTAAGCCACCCAGGCGCCCCACGTGTGTGTATTTTTAGAAGTGTTTTGGTTCAGTGTGTATTTTGAGCGTCCTGGATGTAGCCAACTGGGAACAAATTGTCCTTATGTATAACTTCATATAAAAATTTCAGCCACTTATTAATTTATAGGTAAAAACAAGAGTCCCATTTAAGGTGAAACAAACATGTCTAAAGACTGGAATATGATTTTATCACACAGCGAAAGCTCCATCCCAACATGCTAATTGATTTTGGGTGAAAGACCCAGCTTTTTCCCCAATTTTTAGAGAATTACAGTTTCACAGTAGATAAAGTATATTTACTCTTTTCAGTTGCACAGTTGAATTAACTGTACGTGGATGTGTCCCCTGAGCTCATAGTCTTGCCACTGCTTCTTGGAAAAGACTGAGGTAGTTAGAGTGACAGTAGCTGCCTGTCCGAATAGTGACAGCAGAGATGCACCTGAGGCTTTGTCCCCAATAAGCCTATGACACTTATTGTCCCAATGTGATCTTGTTGCCAAGTTAATACTCTGAACTTTAGACATGGAGTTTGCTGAGAACTCTTGTATTTGTATGCAGAACTTTTAACTCTTTCTGCCTGGATGTGCAAACCTTTTCTGAGCGTGGGCACAGTGCCGTGGGATTTCCTTTTCTTGCTACGCTAGGAAGGGCCATGTCATGGGAAGGGGAGTGCCCATGGAGCAGTGAGGACCAGGGAGGCAGCTAAGTGTCTCACTTAGCTTGCAGTGGACACACTCAAAATCATTGTGATTAAAAAGGGCTTTATTTCTCGTCCTTCAGAGTGTTAGCTTTTTTTTAGGTTGTTAGTTCACATGTGAAATTCCATGGAAAATCTATGAAATTGAATCGAACAGGTCTCTCAGGAGTGGAGACGATTTATTCCATGCATAATAGAGCTTATGTTCATTAGGACCCTTTATCTTTGTGACCTGTCCTGGGTGTAACTCACCGAGGGACACAGCAGGATATGTCACTTCAGTGTGTCCTCTGCAATGACAAAAGGCCTGTTCCATTTGCTGTAAACAGCAGCCACTTAGGCATCAGCTCCCCTCTTTTGTGACCAGAGAAACCATATCACTGGTGCTTATAGAGATCGTCAATCTAAGGATTCATCACTCAAAGCAGTTTTTCACCGAGAAAATTGGCAAGATAGATTTCTTCTCTCTGCCTCAGGAAGGTGCTTGCATAGACTGTGCACCGCATGGGAGATCAGGTAGATTGAAACAGCAGTCTCTTCTCGATAGCAGACCAGACCACGCAAAATATGGGGAACAAACTTGCTTTTCTGCATATGAATGCCCAAAAAAGCAAAAAAAAAAAAAAAAAAAAAAAATTGAGTTGACATTTATGATGAGCACAATTAATTTGCACACATCTAATTCTATTCTTTCCAAACAACATTATGCCAGATCATGGGATGTGATAAATATTAATTTACTGTGAAAAGCATAATTTATGTAAAGTATGTATTTTTACAAGACTGCATTGAGTAGAGTGTTGTGTGTTAACAAATCCTAAATGTATTTCCTTCTACTGCATCATGTTGTCAGAATGTTTCAGGAGACTCCCTTTTAGTGATACATATTCTCAATTTATTTGTCATAGAGGCTATCTATTTGAAATGTTGGGGCCTTAACATCTAAACTTCCACGGTCTGAAGGCTAAATCTTAAGTACATGAATAATAACTTTTTGAAAGTCCATATGTTTTCACATTATGATCACAGAAACAGTATCCCATCCGATTCCTGCAGTGAGGTGGGGGTGGGGAGGGCCGCTGGTGCCCTGAGGAATCAGGTCTTAAAGAGACACTGTAAGTGAAAGATACTCAGAGACTTGTCAGGAGCACATTTCAAACTCACTACTATGTGACCTCTCAGTTTTCACTTGGATTTCCACCCTCTAATTAAAACTCCTAAGTTATCAAAATCACAGACATGATTTTTTAAAAGAAATCCATTGATCATTCCTCCCTGTCTTGAAACTTCCCAGTTTTTGGAATATTAATTTCTGCATTTAACATCTCAGTGAAAAAGAGCTTTGTGGTGTATGGTAGCAGATTTAACCAGCGTATTGCTCAAATTTTCAACAGGTTTTTATTAGATAGCACATACATATGTTAAAATAATCTTATTTTCAAGGAGGCAGCACTTGCTGTGCTGTGACCTAGCTGATGGTCCGGGATGCAGCTGGTGTTCAATAATTTCAGTTACACTATTAGAAGAAGGGAAAGTTTGAATTCAGCAACAACATAGATTCTTCCCCGTCCCCTCACCTACCACCTTCATCTGAGAAACCCAGCCAAACATCAGTGATCTTTAATAGTAACCTCTAGGCCAGTAGACCCAGAAAAAGAAAAAGAATCAATAAAAATGATTTTAATATGGTGTTAACAAAAAATTAGCTTAATATCAAAAGGTATTTCATATAATGACCATATCATTTTAAACCTCTTTTGAACTTACAGTTTTATAAAATCCGGAACCTCTCAAAATTGTCTGTAGCATAATATTTAACTTATGACAGGAGTGTACCCTTTCATTGGCTGCCGAGGCTTAAGGTAGCTATAGAACTCTGTGCCAAATATAAAAGTTAAAAAAGAAAATTCAGAACTATATACCTGAGACTCCTGTTCCCATAATGCAATTTCAACTCTAATTTTTGTATATTTCGAAAAAGTAATCTGATCTCTTAAATCTGAGATGTGCTTTTTCATTACTTATTTCTTTATATGCTTTTAAAGCTTGTGAGCTTATCAGCTGTGTGATGTGTCAAGAATTTTATTTTCACCACGAAATTTAGGCACAGTTTAACTTTTAGTTTGGTAGAAAAAGAGGTCAGGAGACGTCTAAGAAATGTTTTCTTTAGTATGGTTTACCTCGCAGAATTGACATAATTCTACATAGAAATGTGTTGCCTTGTTCTTTTATAGCTGAGATTTTACTAAGAACCCTGCCTCTGGTAAATATTTGCATTTGTTGGGCGATATAGAGCCACTTGGGAAAAAAATGAGGATGACTGTCTTCTGATGTAATCAGTGAAACAGCACAAAGACGGATACACACCAGGCAGCCATTTTCAAGTATATGAAAAACCCTATTCTGTGAGGCAGGGCTGAATGCCTCAGAAAAGTCATGGTGTTCTTTGTCCTTTACAGATGGCCATCACAGCAGTGACCCTTGGAGCTCCTCCAGTGGGATGAATCAGCCTGGCTACGGAGGAATGTTGGGCAATTCTTCTCATATTCCACAGTCTAGCAGCTACTGTAGCCTGCATCCACACGAACGTTTGGTAAGGGCAGATTTACATGGTTCTGGACACAACACAGCTAGTTTCTGAAATCTCATCCTCTGTCTTTCCATGCATGCACACAAGGACTCTGTAAATGAACGTAAAAGTGGTATACACCCATCATTCTTATATTGTGTCTGTGATCAGAAACATACCTGAATCAGAACACCTTTGTAAGCCCTTCCTGAATTCTGTTTGCCTTTGTTCTTCCATTTATTGTGTCTTATTCTGTGCTTTCTTGATGGCAATGTTGGGCTCCTTTGGCACATAAAGATACACTGTATTGAGTTGCAGAATTTCAGCTATGGTGGATCCTTTTTTTTTTTTTTTTTTTTTTGCTGTCTGTAGTTTTGAAGAATATACTGCAGGGGGCAGAGTGACAGTCAATAGACTGAGAGTAGGTGACCTATATCTCCCATGGGCTTTTCCACTTCCTCTTACCGGCTTTCTGTCCCTGGTGACAGCTTTGACCCTTGGTGCCACACCCAGAGGAAAGACTTCCTGTTTCCCGTCCAGTCCACTAGAAACAGCAACCATGAGGTTTCCATATAGACTGGATTCCCAGTGCTCAGTAGCTTAGCCTTAACTCCATACTCCCCAACCTCCCCCTGAGGCTCCCTTGCCTGACTCAGTTGAAAAATGCTGAGCTATAGAATGTTATCTTGTTTTCATTACTGGAGTGGCCACTCCACCCATCGCCTACACTTACCCATCCTAATGTGGTCCTTTATCTTGAAAGAAGCAGCAGTTCATCTGATCATCGGATCTTTTCGAGCCTCAAAAGCTCCACAACCCAGAATCCACTCATGAACTTAAGTCTATCATTATATGGAGGAAAGACTGCTTCTAGATCATGAGTTAGGTTTGAGATGCAGGTAAGGTGGGGACTGAGCCCCTTGTGCAGTAATATAGTGTTAAAAATGTATGAAGCTGTAATCCTACAAATGCAGAAAGGGTGTGGCCTATCCAGTGATCCTTCATGGTACCTGTGTCACTACTCTTCATCTTGAAATTGCCCCTTTTTCTTCTCCTAACACCAGATTCATGTGCCTTTCTCTGTTCTTCTATAAGAAATAGTACTTTCTGGATTTCTGTGCCCTTTCTTTTGCTCAACCACTAGAGATATAGAAAAGGTGACTTCTGTACTATCCTGACAACATAAAAACATTCCAGAAGTTACAGTTTCTGCTATCTTTGATATCCTCTATCCAATGATAGAGACACTACAGTCAGTTGGCCTATCTGTTAACAAGAGGCAAATGATGGAGATGGAATTTGCCTTTTTATATCGTCTGCCAAGTTTATATCGTCTATAAGTCAAACTGTCTCAAATTTCAGCACATCTTCAGTAAACAAAATACTTTGCAAACTTCATCTTCTCTCACCTCCTTTCAGGTATTAGAACAAACGCTTAGAGAAATATCAACTATTATTATACTAGAATTTCTTCTTGGCCAACATCTTTATTTCCCATCATCGTTTCCCACTTGCCTAAGGAACTCATGATCAAAACTTTATGTGTCCTGTGAGCAAGGAAGATTTTGATACAAATAAAAGATTTGGCAATATACTAACATAACATGGAATGTCAGTTCTTCTAAGAGTTGTTCATTTGACATTTATTTCCTCCCTCCCTCCCTCCCTCTTTCTCTCTCCCTCTTTCTTTCTCTTTCTTTCTTTCTTTCTTTCTTTCTTTCTTTCTTTCTTTCTTTCTTTCTCTCTCTCTCTCTCTCTCTCTCTCTCTCTCTCTTTCTCTCTTTCCCTGTCATGCTGTAGAATTTTGATGTTGGTGGTTTGAGTTTATCCTAAATTCACTGCATGGGAGGAGGTATCTTTAAAATATGCTCAAATGCATAAGAAGTGTAATTTTCAAAAGGAAACCAACTACATTCCTTTTAGGAAAAAAAAATTTGCTGAAAACCTTAAAAACCAAAACAATATTATCAACCAGGAAGAAAGATTATTTTGAAGGAGTAGACCAACAGGTTGTATCAGATGCTGTCTTTGTAATGTCATTTATCCGTCATAGGACCCGGGTTTTCATTCTTCAACATGATTATTTAGCAGATCATAGAGATTAAGGGTTTGTTTTCTTAAAATGATAAATGAATTAGGTCTCTGGTAATGTATCCTAATGAATTCTCTCACTGGTAAGGAAACTGTTGGATTGTTATATCTAGTAATCATTGTAATTTCAGTATTCAACCATTTCAAAATCTCTCATTGAAATGCCTTTCAGCAATCTGACACTGATTTAAGAAAAATGTGAGTATGCAGTAGGCACATAGTGTCTTTTCACTTGAAAATAATGGTAATTCCTCACGATTTTTGCCCATAGCTTTTGGCCAGTCTCATACAGAACAAAGGCATAGCGTGGGAAAAAGAAGAGGTTTTAGGGCGTCATTGGGCCAAACTAGCATTGTCTGTAAAGGTATAACATTTTTAGAAGTGTTACTGCCTTCATTACTTTATACCATGTTGTGAAAGGATGTGTAGAGCCTAAAACCCACACATTTCAGTAGTAACTGTCAAGTCACCAAGTTTGATCCTTCAAACCTTTACGGTTTCAGCCTCTACAACACAATCCCACAGCTAATCACTACCGTGTCACAGAAGTACATACAGAATCACTCAGAAGAATGGAGTTTGTGGTTAAGCTTTGGAATGGGTTATTGCAGAAGATTTAAGTTTGGAATGACTTGGCAGAGTTCTGTTTAGAAACGGGATCAAGTCCTCTGCCTGGCATGGTTTAGGCATGGTCTTTGCACCAGAGTGAAATAGTCCAAGGAGTCTAAAATTTTATTATAAAGGAAAAGTTCTTTTATTTTTTGTAACATAAACCCTTACCCCAGTGATTCTCAACCAGGTGTGATCTGACTCCCTCAGGGAACATTTGGAAATGTCCAAAGATGTTTGTGGATGTTACAACCGGGGAGTACAGAATACAGGGATCTGGCATATAGAAGCAAGGATGCTGGTAAACATACTACTGCATAGGAGAGCCTCCCACAACAAAGAATTATCTGGCACAAAAGATTAATGGTGGCAACATTATGAAACTTTGCCTTAGCCCAAAGCGTCATTTTATTCTTTGTATGTGCCACCAATTATTTTCTAATCTTTGAATTATCAACCCATAAGTTGCTAAAAACATCACTAATAGAAACATTTTCAGTACTTTGTCAGAAGGCTCCAAATATGCTATAATTGGGTATCATAAGTAAAAATAATTAAATAGTGGGCATGTAAAGCCATAGCTCTTTTTCAGTCTCCCCTTTCCATGCATAGCAAGCAGGGCAGACAGTGCCAATAGCTGGAGTCAGCGGGGCTGAGGGGACCTGTCATCGATGGTCTCTAAGTACATGGATTGCATTGGTTTCCCCATTAAAACCTACGGGGTGGGACTTTTTCTGTCATTCTCTAAACTCAAGATGAACCCTCTGTCTGTTAAATCTTGAATTACTGCCCATTTTACACCAGGTGAAAAGTGTTTAGAAATTTTCCCTGATGTGATAATCTTCTTCCTGTTTCACCCTGTGATTACATACTCATTTAAATATTTTTCAAAATTCTTTTCCTCTGTTTTGATTTTTGCATATCTGAGACTGATTTATAAGGTTTCTGTATTCTTCAGAAATTCAGCGTAGAATAGCGCTGTGTAGAAATGAAGACAACCCATCTCTTTCTTTGTTTCCTCTTTCTATGCTCAGTTTCTTTTTCTCTACTTTATTATAGTTTTTAGCTCTCGAGCAGAGATAGTTGTTGTAAGTTTGTGTTCTATGACTTATCCAATCTTTTGGATTAGATGTACTATGGATTGGGCCCATTCTGTTGTTATTCAGAAAAAATTTCATGGACAACTTGGGGTATTTTGTAAGCAGCAAGTAGAAATGAGCTTAACAGGTGGCCTAAGGAATTTTGGGGTCAAGCAAAGAGGTCCATGAAATTAAAAAGTTTGAGAGACTTTTTTGGGTACTTGGAAAGGTAAAGGGTATCATCTCAACTTTTTTACTGAAGTTGACCTTTCAGTTGGACTATTTTATGTAGAGATAATATGTATGTAGAGATAATATTTTCAAAGGCACCCACCACCATGTCATTGGTGGATCTAACATAGGTCATTTTCTAGACGGTTTAGTTTTCTCTCAGATGAATAGTATTTCAGTCCACTGTTTATGGAATGCCAACTGATAACTGGTTGTTCATTGAGTATATAGGATAATTATGTGTTCAGCACTCAGTCATGAGCTATGGGATGCACAGGTATAAGCTCTATTCCCTCCTCTTCAGAAGTTAACAGTATAGGTGAGAATGCACTTGAAAGAGAAAGCAATGAAAGGCAGCATATAATTAAATGCTAAATGGCACAGCACAGAATGTGAGTGCATTAGGGATTCAGAGAACGATATCGTGCAAGAGTTGGAAGTTGGAAGGAATGCTAAAGAAAGAGGTAGAACCCAAGGTGAGCCTCACAAAATTAATACAGAAATACCAAGACACCAGGGTTTTACTCCTATGAATAAATGCCTGGGCTTTAAGCACCCGTGACTTTTAACATCATATTCAATCTCTAATTTTAATAGAATCTCCACTAATGATGTATAAAGACCCATAGCTGATTAATATATTACATATAAGAAAAAATGTATTTTAGCCAAAATAGCTTTCCTTTACAAAAGGTCTGTAACACATTCAAATACCTATGAGAATGACTTTCCAAGCTACTTTTTTATCTTGAAAAAGAAAATAGCCTGATGTATTTTTGTAAATAACTGTGTCCCTGATAGTGATCTGCTCATTCCCAAGCAGATGAATCAATGGCAACAAATTTGCTGCTTTACAGGCTCTGTGATGTGCCCCAAGGAAAGCAGCTTATTTGGACATTTAGGATATAATTGAACTCAAAGCCAAACTTAAACCAAATGATTCTGTAAAGATGTTCCTTTTTCATAGTCACCTATATGGTAGATTATGAGGAGGACATGTAAAGAAAGAACTCAAATCAAATCAGTTCTCAGTTCATTCATTCCAATTTAATTCAATAGAGTCATTGATTGGTTTTATATACTGATGTTTATAAAGATATTTAATCATTGGTACTTTCTAAATTTTTCATTTACTATTTTGTTCTCACTAGAATTCAGAAAGGTGATTCAGTTTTGCAGGAAGAGGATTTGAGACTGGCTGTTTTCGCCATTTAGTGTCCAGAAGTTCAGATGAAGTGTAATGTCAACCCCATGGGTCATAGTATAGTTTTAGTCATTGTACCATGGAATCTTTCTTCCTTGATCAGGAGTTCATACAAAAAAATTAATAGTAGAAATTGTCTTTTATGTTGCTGAAATCTCAGAGATACCTTTAAGCAGTAATTCTTAGATTCAGAGAGACTGTGATCATTTCTCACTGTCCTGTATTGCCATTGTATTCCTCTACATTTGATGTGAACCCGAACAACTATGTGTCTTTGCGTTTTATTCTTTGAAAAATGAAAGCTGTCAGACATAAGCAAGATATACTCTTGGATATTTTGAAATTCTAAGAGCTATCTCCTGCAAGATGAAGAGTTCTGAAAGAAGTATTAGAAACCTAACCCACTAAGTATTTTATGGTTGAATATGGCCTCTTTTTTTCTGCTTCCTGCTACAGAGCTATCCATCACACTCCTCAGCAGACATCAATTCCAGTCTTCCTCCGATGTCCACTTTCCATCGTAGTGGCACAAACCATTACAGCACCTCTTCCTGTACGCCTCCTGCCAACGGGACAGACAGTATAATGGGTGAGTCATGGAAATGTCGATTCTGACGCCGACAGTCAATGTCGCGGCTTAATGATATGAGACCTCTTTTTTCTACTCATCATTGAATAGCAATCAGGCAATGAAAATCTGTCACGTAACTGAATGAAAATACATGAACCAAACAGAAATAGGCATTGGTGTGTCCGTAATCACTTTTTTTTGTCATAAGAACCTGAAATTTGGCTACTTTGTTCTTTGTGAGTTAGTAAATTGAACAAGGGTTTAAATAGATCCAAACCACCTTGCTTCTCACATTTCCAAACAATGAGCAAAATGAACGTTTAAGACAACCGCCAAAGACAAATGAGATGGGGGCAGGTTAGCTCTTAATAGTAGTTGACCACTTTCCAACTCCAGTCACCATGCTAAGCTCTTAACCATGACATACCACAGTCTTCCGAAGACTAGCTCCTATGAAATTCACAGGAGATTTTTAATAAATAGATGTCCTCACCTCCTGGAGAATGTGGCATCATGGAGTCCTTCAGAAGAAAAGAAGTGTTTGCTTGCTTATTGGGGAGAAGATGCCGGATGTCAGTGGGCCAGAAGGCATTTACTGCTTTCTCTCAAGCAAATTTACTAATGAGCTGAGGCCCAAGCAGAGCGCTGCTGCCAAATGAACTCAGCCATTATCCCCTGGTTTTTCATGATGTCTATTGTGATTCTCTCCCTAGACAGGTGATTCTCCACCAGTGCTGTCCCCTGGAGGGAGGAGCTAGGCAGGTGTCCAGCTGCCCCTGGAGGAAAGAGTCCCGGGCTAGGGAGGAGGCAGCCACCCTTTTACGACTGCACTTTCAACAAGTTTGCCATTCTGAGGAGTAGCCCAGCCTGGTGTTCCAGGGTCTCATAAAACTTCAGACTTCACTGGTTGCTACTACTCTGGTACTAGCTCAGACTCACACCTTGCTTGGCCTCAAGATCACTTCCAGTGGGTCACTGATGGGAAACTGTTCGTTTTAGAGAGAAGAATGTGTGGCAGAATAATCCTGCCGTTTATTCCCCGTAGCTCTTTGCAGATTTTCATTTCCTTTAGAGAGTCCATAGGACTTGGGAAAGTGGTGTGAATCACTTATCTGGGAGCGTTTTTGATGAAAGGGAAGAGATGTGCTTTGAAATGTTGCAAATATAATTTTGCCTAAATAATACACTCCCTGCTTATTCAATAATATATTTCACACTTGAGATGAACCACCTAGCAGCCCTTCGCTATCTCATCTCACTAAGAAGCAAATTGACAAGAGTTTCCATTTTTGTAACTTTTCATAACAAAGCTTCTACAAATGTGTTGCATCAGTTTGACCTTGGAGAGCTATGGACAGAGGTCACATGGGGAAGTTGGGTTAGCTATCAATGCAGTTTTGGCAGATTTGAAAAACAAGAAGAAAGAAAGAAGTGCAGAACTGAAAGAGTGAGGAAAGCATATTTCACTTCAGTGTGGTTTGACAAATGGAAAGCCCCTTTCTACAGTCATGAGGTCTAGTTATAAAGAAGGATGACCGGTCATTCATCCTCTTACACGGCAGATTTCCTGTCTGCTTGTGGTTTGAGTAATTTTCTTTTTTAGGAAGGTATAAAGGTGGAGCAAAAGCTCGAGTTGAGGAAAACATATTCAGGCATTGTCTGAAAAAAAAATTTGTTGATTGATTTACAAAACAGTCTTTCTGGGAGAGAGGTAACACAGCTTGGGAAGAAAGAGATGTTACGAGATGGAATAATCATTTTCCATGAGCTGTGGTCAGCATGGCCACAAGTCTCGGTGGGAATGAGATTTGCTTTACTTAAGATGGTTGACTCATCATTAGCCTGTGGATGAAAAGGAATGTCTGCTCTCCTCTGCTCTCCTTCTTCATCTGGTCTGGACAGCGTGGGGTGGTAGGTGATTCCTGCATTCTGATGGGCCCAACTGTATACTAAAGAGGGAGTGAACTTCGTATGTAGACCATACGGCCCTGTTTAAGTGGAAGGAGGGTCCAGGCCATAATAAAGAGCTTTAATTTTAAAGGGAAAAGTATGAGATTTCCCTGTTAAGTTATTCTTAAAAACGCAGAAAAAGGTTTTTAAGAATAACTTTATTACCTAAATTATTCTGTAATCATGGGTGTACTTGTCAAAATCTATTAGCAGAATGTGAGAAAGCTTTATAATCTTTTCAGGAAATAAGTAGACATGGTAATTCAGCTTTTTGGAGGAGCAGACCTTTATTAACTTGCATAAATGCAGTTATTACTTAAGGATTATGTTAAGGGAGAACATTCTAGAATGTTCTTTCTTAAAATAATATGTCCTCCAATTTCTTACATTAAAATACAGAGGAAAATTTAAGTATGATAATAAGCCCTAGTATTGCATGCTGTCAAATGGCTCGTGTTTCTTCACACTTTAATTTTCTTAGGCCTTGAATGGATTTTCAGAGTGTGGTAGAAGTCAGGGATGGCAGCATGTCTGTATAACAAGAAGAGAAGATTTCTCTTCTGATGTTAGTGATACTTCCCTAACAAACAGTATGCATTAATAGGATACATCTGTAGACTTTTGAAAATATTTGGCATATACTCACTCATTCTGAAATGCAGGAAATAAAGAAATATTACATTGCCTGTATCTCAAAGAACAAACAGAGCTAATTAAATAATTGGTAAATAGGGAACACATAGCCTGACACATGTTTGAGATTACACACATGATTCTGTAGAAAATGACTATAAGCAATACTAATGCCGTAAGAATGGGGTTCAAGCACTAACACATGGACATCACGTTTTTCAAGTTTTCTCGGTAAAAAAGTGCAAGGCAAAGCAATCTTTTCATAAATGGCGTTGATGTCTTAGGAAGCTGCTTTTTCAGTTTAGATCATTGCCCCAGTTCTGAGTTTTATGTTATAATGTGCCTTCCTGGAAGTCGGTGAATGTCTTGGCCTGATCCTAGAACAACAAAAGGCATGTGGCGTGAGATGTAAGCTCAGGACCGTCAGAAGGGAGCCCCCTGGAGTCACGGCCCCTATGCCCCTGGTTCTATTCTCCGCATTTCAAAGATGGAAGATGCTCACACGCTTTCAGATGGCTTGTGTTTGACTTGGTAGAGCGATCACTGTTTCTGTTTTCTTTTGCCCTTTAATGCCCAAAATCATTTTTTGAGAAGCGCTTCAGAAAGACACAGTTTACCCAGGTTATAACGACAGGATTTTTTCTTTTTTTTTTTTTTTTAAATTTTTTTTTAAATGTTTTTATTTATTTCTAGGAGAGAGAGAGAGACAGCGTGAGCAGGGGAGGGTCAGAGAGAGAGGGAGTCACAGACTGAAACAGTCTCCAGGCTCTGAGCTGGCAGTCAGCACAGAGCCCGACGCGGGGCTCGAACCCACGAACCGCAAGATCATGACCCGAGCGAAAGTCGGACGCTTAACCGACTACGCCACCCGGGCGCCCCGACAGGATTTTTTCTTAATGACACAGTCATCCATAGATTTTCGAGCGAATTGTAGTTTATTTTACTTGTGGCATATATTCCACTACTTTCCTCTGAAGCCTTGCCAGCAAGCTCTGGAGTTTACATTAGACATTTGTGAATTCGAAGCGTCTATTAAGCTCCCTAGAATTATATGAATATAATGCATGGGTCACAGCATGGACTCTTAGTAATTGAACTGGTATAGTCCCCAGGTAAAGAGAAGAGCTAAATCCAGGGTCTTCCAGAGTTACCACCATCAGAGCCTTTTAACCTTGCTCCCAAAACTCTTTGGATGAAATACTGCTGGGTGTATCTCAGAAGCAGTCCAGCCCAGTGCCTCTGCGTGTGAGCATGCACACAGAGGATGTGTAGTAAGTTATTAGATACCAGCTTATAGAGGATAGAAATCTCTAGGGACAGCAGCCTCATGTATTTTACTGTTTACGTGTTTCTTTCTTACCTGCAGGGTCCAATACCCCTTCTTGATCAAAACGTTTGAGGGCACTGCCTGTTCTAACACACTCCCCTAGACTGCTCAAGGAGAGTACTCCAGTTCCCCACTGGGAGATGCCATTTGTATACATTCCCAGGGTGTGACCCCTGGTTATTTGAGGCTACACACCCTCTCTTCCCCTCAGAGGAAATTGGGCATAAAACTAACATAATGGTTATAATAACTATTATTGTTTCATTAGTCTTTAACTGGCCTGGTTTCTAATGCATAGTACTTCCCATGTTTTTAAACCTCAAACCAAACAGTGTTGAAGGAACAGACTACTAAGATTGATTTAATGCAACATATGCTAAAGATTACCCTGGAATATCTATCTGGTTCATGAAATTAATCTGGCTTACAACTTTCACTTCTAATGACATGTTTGTATGACATGATGCATTTTAGTGTGTGGCTTTTCTCGTAGAAACATTATGTCCATTTCCCCTTGAGGACTTGGTTTCACAGTAATTTTATTATTAGAATAGTCACATAATATTCACTTTGTCTTTTGTAAGAGTCTTGAGCCTTCAAATACAGTCGGGTGATGAACAGGCACAGAGCATAAGAGTAATATGGATTTTATCCAGCAGTGACACGGCATCTTAGTTACAAAGACCGCCAACGGAGAACAATAAACTAGTTTGATTTAAGTCTTCTCGTCCATTTCCTGCACATGGTCATGGGGCCCAGTGCCTCCCCCTTGGATTCCTAGGAATCCCTCCTGCTAAAAATTAGTGCATTATAGCCCCTATTTGAGTCTTTATTCTGAAATCGCGCGTAGGAGGCGTGCTAGGAAGGCTCCTTTTCTTGCCATCTTTATAGAGATGAGCTCATGACATTGTATGCTGCTTCTGATAGTTTAAGAACACGAGGGTCATTTGGACACAATTCAGAAAAACCTAAATCTTAAACCAGTCATTATCTTTCAGACAAATACATTAGGAATTGCATTTCTTATTCCTTCTGTATCTTCACGATGTTCCCGGCCTGTGGTTATGAGTGTGCAATAAAGAGATAACACCTTTTTCCAAATTTTCAGGAGCCAGTCCCCAGCCATCCTACTATTTTGATTAGGGGGTGTTCTAATAGGAATTGCCATTTCCACAAAGCTGAGATGGAGACGGAGGATGGTCCCCCGTGAAACCAAAGATACCAGACCTTTCTTTCTGCTCCATCTTCTAGCCAGCAACAGCACCTGTGTTCAAGCCATCTGAACAGTGCTTCGGCAGGCTGACAGTCTCAAATCCGCCTACACCGCTGCAGTTCCTTTTAAAAGCTGCTCATCTTCCAGTCATATCTACCTTACCACTTTAGAGACTGATTTGGTTTTGTTTCTGGGGTTTTTTTCTTGAGCAAGAGAAATTGATTAGAGCTAAAATATCAAGAACTCAACCCAGCCTTCATCTAGTGGAGACAGTAGTTCTTATCTCTCTTCCTATTCTGTGAGCATTTTGATAATTTCTAATAATAGGAGTTGGCAAAAACTTGGGCCTAGAACAGAAATCGAGTCCCGTCACATTAAAGCCATAAAAGTGGATTTGGGGAGCGCGAGGTTTAAGTTGTTTTGCCAAACGTGTCCCATTACTACTCAGCATAAAAAATACTATGCCATTTGAGAATTTAAATTCACTCTCTGTTTATCTATGCCTTTTGACATATCAGTCACACAAATAAAAAGAGAAATCTTTAAGAGAAGGGCCCACGAAGCCTAACTTGTTCGGGGGTTCGAAAATGTGTCTTTCTCCAGCGTTTCCTGGAACGGAACAAAAGGCATTCCAAGTGAAAGGGCAAATTGGCCCCAGTAAACTGCTTTGAAATTTAAGCCCTTAGGATTGGCCCTCCAGCTGCTGCAAGGTAGAATGGCTTCATGTGAAAAAAATGGTCTGTTCTTACCAGTGACTTCCACGAGCAGCCTTTGTAGTTTTCTGAAACATTTTCATGACACTATGAACTAAGAGGTTGATTGGTTTTTATTCTAGTTCCTGAGTCCTAGTATCTCTCTCTATAAAACAGGCACTAACAGAAAGTTTAGTTAGAAAGCTGTAGTACAAAAAGTAATCCTAATGATCATCATCTTCTCTCTTCTAAAGTGTGGTTTTACACTATATGTATAACATTTATGTTCCTAAAATACTCCCATGGGTTTTCATGAAATTGTATTTTGAAAAATTTGTCCTCCTCACTTTGAAGTTGTTCGAAGGAAGAATTCTTTGTAACTGAAACAATATCTTGTCCCTTTTGATTTAGGTTTTTTTCGTTAAATAATAATAATTTTTTTCTAGTGCGGCTCTGAAATTCCATTTCACAAAGTTCTGTTTTCTAATCAAGAAGATCACAAATTAGTTTGACTAATAATTCTGATTTTTAGGTATATGTGATAATATTGCCTCTAGGAAAAATATGTATATAATTGCCTCCAAATACCATCATAATACATGCTAAAAAAATATTAGCGCTCTCTATGTTTTCAAAATCTTTGTTATTTCCTCTTTAGGATTGTCTTTTGCTTTTAAAGAACTCCTCAATGCAGAAATTTTCATTTTCACAGGAGATCTCATTTCAGTGATCTCTTATATTTAAGTATTTTCAATATCATTGGCATCTGTGAATTTCTTTCACTTAGCTCAACTGTATGTCTGACCCCCATTTCAAAGATGCACTTATACCTATAATCCTTAGTACTAATAAGCAATATACTTTTTATATTACTAATTTGTGATATAAAAAAATAGTTTTGTTTTGTCGTAAGGTGGTTGTGTTCTTTTTTTATCACCTACCAGTTTTCTTTCAGTTTTAGTAATTAACGAATGAATATGGGTGTGGGTTTTGTTAACCAAATCAAGCACACATCAAACGATTATCCAACTGACATACCCAACATATAAATGTATAAAAATAGCAAGCATAATTTAACTATGCCAGCAGAAGTCAGGAGAATGAAATTATAACCTAGAGAAGCAGAGAATTCAACCACTTGAGATCTGACCCCACTACTACATTTTACAGATCTGGAAGCAGATGACACATTTGTCAGCAAAGTGTGCTTTCTTGGGTCAAGGTTAGGGCTGGGAAATTTTTTTTTTTTCAATTATGTTGTATGCAGTGAAGTTCTGCTTGGATTAATCAGTTGACTTAAGATTTCCTTTTCTTATTTCACAGAATAGTGAACCCAGCTCCTTGGGTTTAATAGGTCTTGTTTAAATACTGTGTCTGTTTGGTAATGTTGAGGCCTTAATAAATGTAATATGCCAAACGTTGTAGCGTTGTATTAACACTGTTAAATAGAGCTGACTTTGAATTACATGCTAGAATCTACATCTTTTTAGTAACAGTACTTGGTTCAGAATCTCTTGTGTGGTTAAAAATACCAGCGTTAAAGATGACAGAGATAATTTCCTGAATATGTAGACTTATGTTGTCTCCAGAAGTTGAGACCTTTATTGATTTTTAGTAGGGTAACAGTTCAGGTTTTGTTTTTTGGTTTTTGTTTTTCTAATATAAACACAGACCTGAGTATGTGGAGAATATGTGACATTTCAAATATTAAAAACATGTTCTCACCTAGGAAGCCAGGCCTGTTACAGACTTTCTGTTTTATTTTGCTGAGAAGGGCACCTTGTTTTACCGTGTAGCAGATTTTTTAAAAAATGGAAAGCAGGCATAAATTCTTGTGAAGACAGTACAACTGACTGTATGAAACATAGAGGAAAGGCAAACTTTGAGGACTTCAGACCCCTGAGAACTGCATACTTCTTAGCAATGACTTCATGGGCTTGCCGCTCGCTTGCCACCATTCACCACTAACTACTCACAAGCAACAAGGGGGCCAAGTAATAGCAACTGAAACACTTCATCTTTAAACCAAGGTGTCAGGTTTATATTTTATCTGTAAAAAAAAAAGTAACATGAATATATTTGACATCTACCTCAGCAAACAAATTAATGCTAATTAAAGATTAATGTGTTGTAATTAGCATTAAAAATGCAATTAAATTGTGAGTAAATGGACCAGGAATAGAAAATTGTTAGACGTCTCACTGCCTGGTTTTTCATATTCTGCCTTTTGTTTTTGCAGCAAATAGAGGAAGCGGGGCAGCAGGCAGCTCCCAGACTGGAGACGCTCTGGGGAAAGCACTTGCTTCGGTGAGGAAATATTGACTTTGGACTTCACATGTACCATTGTGGAAGGGTGAACTTTAAGCAGAAGTGGACATTTGGAATTGTAGAAAATGAATGGCAAATAGCTTTGATGTCTGGAAATGCTAGCCTTCTTGCAGAACGATTATTGGGAGATTTGAGAAGAGAGTTGTGAAGCTTCCAGCAAACGGCCGACCCTTCCAGCTTGTCTCCTCACAGTAGCACTAAGCAGTCCTCAGTTATGGATTTGTGGATATTCTCAGGGCCTTTTGGTGTATAGATTTTCTGTCTTGATTTCTTATTTTTCTCTAAAATCATATGGTGCTCATTGACCAGCTAAGACAGACTTTGCAGGGACCAGTTCTAAAACCCTTTGGAAAAGGCACTAAAAAATAATAATAATAACCATAACTCCATAACTGAGGTCTGTGAGAAATTGTCACATAATTGGCACTTGGGGACTCCGCTTCTTTGCCTTGCCCATCCGCTGCCAGGAGGCCAGAACTGAACATTTCTTGCATGTTGTTAACTGGTGACCAAGTAGCACCCCATCATTTGTGAGAGAGTGTACCTGGTATTGTCGTCAAGAGCTAAGCATGGTCATTTGAAAATGTAAGCGGAGATTTGTTACTCTAATTTGGTTTTTCCTTACCATCGGGAGCATAAAATAAGTTTGATTTAGCATCGGGACCTAAGTAAAAGTTTATATTTAATCTGGGCATCCCTTTGCCTTGGCATCAAATGCCTTTCATGATGGAGAAGAAATTGAACAAAAACCGTAGAGATGATACTATATAATGTATTTGATACCAGAAGAAAGGGAAGTTTGGGGAGTTCATGAGACTCACTCATGGCCATGGAATGATGGTAGAACATGGCAGGGAAAGGACTAGAAGTACAATCTGCTGACCCTGGCTGGTTGTGTCCACGCCATCTTACATGACCTCATAATCCTAATTTTGAAAAATTAAAGTAATTATAAAATTTTTCATTTGAAAATATTGGTGCTCTAGTGGATTGTTACATGTATTTTGTAACTTGTAATTTTTAGATGAATTGCAATGAGACTGTGTCGTTGAAGGAATTGTTGACTCTTTATTCCTAATAAATGAGGGTTTGTTTTCTTTCTCCCCACTGTTTTAAGATCTATTCTCCAGATCACACTAACAACAGCTTTTCATCAAACCCTTCAACTCCTGTCGGCTCGCCTCCCTCTCTCTCAGGTACTGTACCTAAATCCAATCCCATCCTGGTACCAGTTTATGAAAATGATTTCTCTCATACTTCCTGGTCTGGCAGGCGGAAACTCACTCCCTCCAAAAGCACAAAACATAACATTTCCAAACAGACAAATGGAAAAGAGTGGGAGAGAGAGAGACTGCCATATGAAAGTATAGCCATTTACATCCAAAATTTTTCTTAAAAATTAGATGTTTTTGGAATACACATATGGAAAACTTCTTTTAACTTTTCTTAGCTCTGTAGAAGATCTTCAACAGAATAATATACTCCAATAAGACATCTCCAATGAGAAAACCCAGTTAATGCAGTCAGGAATATGAATATAAATTATACAGTCATCAAATATAGACTGTTCTAAAGGATCATTTCCTACAGAAATTTTAGACTTCCCACGTTTCCTTTTTAAAGTCCATGTCACTGTCATGTTTGAGACAACTATAATTTTGTAAATAAATTGGGAAGTAACTGTGTGGAGTAAAAGGGGATGTTTGCCTTTAAAATATAACACATTAGCATGACCTGTGACTTCAAATAATAAAATTACAAGTTGTTTAATTATGTTAGTAAAACATTGCACTTTTCAGAGGTCCATTTAAGAGGCTCATTGCCCTTCTAGTATAAATGCTTCCAGAAGGCCCTATCTGGTGCATGTCTCTGCTCTTTGGAAAGAGGACATGTGACCTCTTTAAAAAAAAAAAAAGAAGAAGAGGAAGAAAAAAACTGAAATTGCATCTATACCTGGTTGAAATCTGACCTTAGTGTAATCGATAGTGAAGTCACTTGTCTAAATGCTGCCTCCTCGCTCCCTCTGTTATTCCCTGCATACGGCACTTCACGAACCCATCAAAAACTGGGTTCCCTGGTAAAGAATGGGAGGTTTCAGACTGCCCAAAGCTTGAATTCAGAGGTGATGGCCATGGCTTAGGTGGGACCAAATGTCAGCCTTTTCCAAGTCTCCGTTGGCATGGGAGATGGGGGTGGGGGGGTCACAGAATAGAGAGGAGTAACTGGATCTTTAAGTCCACATGACCAGACAGAATTGAAACTGCAAGGAAGCAGAGGTGATATTAAGAGGATAATGGAACAGCCATGAAACATTCCCTGTGGCAGGAGACAAAAGGGAAGTTCAGAATTATTATAGACCCCTGGGTCAGTATTATACTGGTGGGCTCTGGAGCCAGTGTCCTGAGCGAGAGGAGAACAGAGACAACATCTAGCGCAGTGAGGCAAGTGATGAGGGAATCTGAGCAGGGAGAACTCCAAGTTTCCCATTTCAAAAAAAGCAGCTCTGATTTCATCGGTTTTATAGTTTGTGGGAAGGAGGGGAACCGTCCAGAGTCTTTAATAAGGCTTGAGCATGATTGACTATTTGAGTCTGATCCTCTGATGTTTCAGATGAGCAGACTTGGGCCCAAAACGGGTATGGGATTTGCTGAGGCTGCAGGAGTAGCAGAGCTCGGCGAGAATCCAGTGCCCACCAGTCTGCCAGGCCACTTCCAGGTTCACGAGGAGAAAGGAAAGCTCTGATGCACTGATCAGTCTGGAAAGCACCACAAAGGCCTGAAATCTGAGCAGTTTGCTCTGTGTGGAAGACACGGAGACAAGACCCCTTTGGGCTCCTACTAATGCACTATGAAAGACCACATATTAGGAAGAAATAACTTTATGAAGATGTAAATGTGCGGATAAATTGCTGTTTTCACACTGAAAATAGCTGGCTCCCTCCATATTCTGTCACTAAAAGTAATCGAACAAAATGTCCTCCTTTTAGTTAGCATAAAAATACACATATGTGCACACCCAGAAATGACGAGAAGAAAGGATTTTTAAAAGGCTAACCATGTCAGGGCGTGAGATTACAGTGAGATCATAGGTATTTTTTTCTTCCTTGAATTACTTCTTAGTTTCCACATGTAGTATGCATCATTTTAAATTGAAAAGTGGTTTTTATTTTGCAGGTTAGACATGGAATATTTACTGTAGCAGAAATAATAAAGTTTAGTGGATAACAAAACAATCATTTTCTTCAGAAGAAACTACCTACTTATTACTGTTGTTATATTGAGTTCTTAAATTTCTAGGTTAGTGGATCTCTGCCAACTAATCTTATTCCCTTAAAAAGTTTGGAAGGCTTATCCTTCTTAAGGGTCATTTTTAAAACCCACAGCAATGCTGTTTTACATTGTGAGAGAACTTTGGTGTCACAAACTGGCCTTGCATGAATGAAGGTGTAACAGAATCCCCTTTGCATTCTTCAAAGTGGCCTGACATGGTAGTGATCTCTTTTCTTCAGTAGGAACCATTCTCTAGCTAAAATTCAGAACCAGTTAAATGTACTGTTCTTTGAGGAAGAAGCCTGAGAGAATTCTGAGTCTATGTCAAGTTTGAAATTGAAAATGTATTCCTTGTCCCAGAATTCTTGTATGGGAAGTTTACATGTCTTTACCTTATTGTACAAATGAAAAATCAACATTGCTGTTCCTAAAAGAACTGTTTGAAATGTCTGCGAGATCGTTCTCAGATTATATAGATTTCATTGTAACCTCGTTTTATATCAGCAGGCACAGCTGTGTGGTCCAGAAATGGAGGACAGGCCTCATCATCTCCTAATTATGAAGGACCCTTACACTCTTTGGTAAGTCTCATCTGCTAATCTCTTCTCTGGCCACTTGGTATACCATGTTTCTCTAGTTGACTCCCTAGGATTCTTGTTTCACTAACAGGAACTTTAGATAGATGTTAAGCACACAAGTTTGGTTAGAGCCAGAGTTGTTAGACTATACTTGTTCCTGTTTGTAAATTGTGACCCAGATACTGTAAGCCCAAGGGCTCCAAATACCTAGGACCAGGTAAGAGATTAAAAATCCTGGAGAGAGAGTCACATCCATCCCATCTTTGGGAAAGATCCCTGTCAAAGATTAAATAACTTTTCCTGATAATGAGAGTGCTGAGTGAGTTCCCACCAAGCTGCATGGCCGGAAGACTTAAAGATTCAATAGACCTCTGCCGTACTTTCCAGAGTGGCTGGCTTGTCGGAGCTTTCCTCTCGACCTCTGAATAAGAAGTCTACCATCTGTTTCCATGTTCGCTTTGGTTCTCCTAGAAATCGAATAATGTCATTAAATGTCTGCTCTTCCATTAGGGAGTAGCTGAAAATCTCCATGACTGTAATTAATATTATAAATACTCATCCCATGGTGATTCAGTGTCTGACACTGTAGTCTTTCTCAAGTCATGGTGGATGTGACTGAAAATGTGCATGAAATAACACTGCTCTGGGTGGTATTTGGTCGCTATATGGATCAAGTGGGGAGGGGTAGCAGCAAGGAGCTCTTCAGCCCTTCAGGGATGGGCTTCCCTTTTTTCATCCATATTTTGAGATAGAACGTGGAAGAGACATCTATCTGTTGGTCTACCTTAATGTCTTGGCAGCAGGTCAGAATTTCCTTTCTTCCCTTTTGGTTTACTGTTTAAATTAAGGACAATCTGAAAATGGAAATACAAAGGTGGATATTCCCCTTGGTTGTATTCTTCCTTGCTGTAATGTGGAATCATTCAGCAATGCTTTTTGGCCAATAAAGGCAGGCCACAGGGTGGGACGACGTATGTACTGCCTGCTTATTAGCCCACATTAATTAATTAAACTGCAATCCACTTCCAGATAACTCATAGTTGTTTTAAGTATTTACCTCCATCAGTTATTCCCTGGAACCCATCTATCAAAACTAGGTTATGTGCAACTATATAACCAGGAAGACTAGCTTTATAGTTACAAACTATGGGTTTAGTCCTCTGAATTCTCAACACACACTAGGGGATTCACAAGGAAAAACTGCTCTCCCTGCCAGGAAGCTGTGAGCCAGAAAGGATGATAGACACATGTCTTACTTCTTTTCATGTTCACATTTATATGTGGAAGCACGTATTACCATTCTCATTTTTGTAAACTATGAAGTATAGAGTCAAAGAAGTTTAGTACCTTGTCGAAGATTTCATAAGAAGCGGCTAGAAGTTTAGGGGAGGTCCCTTAACACCAAAGCCCACCAAATCAGAATGCTCTGTACCATAGAGTAACTGTATTAGACACACATTCCTTCCCGTCAGTATAAAATAATTAGAAATTGTTTTTCTCATGCAGTAGAGCTTGTACATCTGTTTTCACGGCCCACTGGAAATCAGAGTACACTGTAGCATAATCTAGTACAAAGAGGCACTAGATTTGAAGTCCAAAGACTTAGCTCAACCCTTGACTATACCATTTCCCAGCATTGTGACACTGAGTAGTTAATACTAATTTCTCTGAGCCTCATTTGCACATCTGTATGGAAGGGATAATGTCTTCCCTCTTTGCCTTACACATGGAGAATGAAGATCCAATGAGATGGCATATTTTAAAATGCCCACTGGAGAGTGGTATGTAGATGTTTATTTGATATCATTATTTATACCAAAATAAGTAATACACATCTACTTGTCCTTTTTCTTCACAAAAAAGTATAGTATAGACCCTTCCTAGTTGCAGAAAATTAGGATCTTAGTGGCTGGGATGGAAAAAAAAAAAGGTTAGTTGGTTTTGAATTCTATAATTTAATTGTATAAGGTAGTGAATTTTAAACACAGCAAGGGTTTTGAAATCAATTAGAAGCACATGATAAGCTGTTAATTCACATCTTTGTGACTCTTCAGTCTTGAAATCTCGTACCACTTTGGTTGACAACATTTTTTAAACATTTTTTCTATATCCAGAAAAAGTTCCTTCTCTCCTCTCTACATACATAAGGTGGTGATAATAGACAGCGAGAAACACTGGTAAAAATGGATAGTACTCAATAATAAATTATAGTCTGTATGCATTTACCTTTCCTTGACTTGAAACTTAAGTTAGCCCTGTATCAGATGCTATAGAGGAGATGAAGGAAAGATGCATCCAAGAAGATAATTTAATTGGGAAATGGTAAATACATCATCTTTTCATTGTTAAGTTTTCGAAATCTTAACCAATGCCTGCTAGAATGTTTCTTAAATTGTATATATTTTTTTGTTCTAAAATAAATCTAAATTCTCCTTCAAGATAATGCAATAGTATAGCATAGGTACATTATAATGTCCTAGAGGATTACAAAATTTACTTCATTCATGAAAAATAACACTATGATATACCATTAATGTCTTCCACCAGTTTTCTGGGACGGTCACCATCTATTATTGTTTTAAGGAAATAAATTTTATTGGAAACCTATATTCAGGAACTCAAAGGATGATTTGTGTCATCTCAGGTTTTACTCCTATAGCCTCTGCATGCATTTCAGACAAAATCCAATTTCACATCATTTGTTAACCAACAGCAAAGCCGAATTGAAGATCGTTTAGAAAGACTGGATGATGCTATTCACGTTCTCCGGAATCATGCAGTGGGCCCATCCACAGCTATGCCTGGTGGTCACGGGGACATGCATGGAATCATTGGACCTTCTCATAATGGAGCGATGGGTGGTCTGGGCTCAGGGTATGGAACCGGTCTTCTTTCAGCCAACAGACATTCACTCATGGTAAGTGATGACATTTGTAGACTCCTTAGTTACTGTATAGAATTAGAATTTAAAGTAGAAATACTACCACTGCTGTTTTTTTCTTTTTTAAACAGCTTCATTGAGATATAATTCACTTAAATGCAATTCACCCATTTAAAATGTTCAATTCCATCTGTTTTATTTAGTATGTTCACAGGTTATGCAGCCATCACCAGTCTAATATTAGAATGTTTTACCCCCTGAAAAAAGAAAAAGAAATCCCCATTAGTTGTCACTCTCCATTCTTCCCTCTCCCTGGACCCTAGCAACCATTAATGTAGCGTCTGTCTGTATAATTTGCCTATCTTATATTTCCAGTCAGTGGAATCATACAGCACGTGATGGTCTTTTCTAACTGGCTTCTTCCAGTTAGTGTAATGTTTTCAAGGTTTATACCTATTTCAGTCTGTATCAGAGCATCATTCATTTTTATTGCCAAGCAGTATTCCATTGTATACATTATATTTATCCATTCATCAGGTGATGGATGTTTGGATCGTTTCCACTCTTGGCTATTATGAATAATGCTCCTATGAACATTCCATGTACAAGTTTTTGTGTGGACGTGTGTTTTCATGTCACTTGAGTATATACCTAAGTGAACAATTCTGGGTCATTGCTGGCATTTTAAATTCTTCATCTTAATGACGCATCTAAAGGACCCACTTTTGTACATGCTACATTGTTGGCATTTCAGGTATGAACAGGTTGAAATATTTTTTTATTCTTGAAGAATCCAAATCTTTTGATTCTGAGTATGGGAGGTAGAAATATGCGGTGTGTTCATTGGTCTAAATATATGGTGCGGGACTATATAATTTAAGAATATAGTGATTTTATTTATCACTACCCTTTTATGAATAGGTATTTATTTAAGTATATTTGTCCCTATTACAACGGAAATTTCAACTCTGCCCTTTACTTTTGGAAATGATTTGGGAGTGTGCCCTTTTTATTTAGATGATTATGAAAATTCAGAATCTTCTTAGCAAAATATTAAACGATGGCAATAAGGTGACCAAATTAATCACTAGTGATTCTGTGTAATTCTGCTTCTTATAAACTCCTGCCTGATCAACAAACCCACCTTCATGTCCTGTTTTGTACCTTGTACCCTCTTTAAAAAGTTGCTTGGATGAAGATCTGTCTTCTGTTACCACTGCAGCATCTCTTGTTTATTGACGGTTCCAAGAGGAGAACACAAAATAAGCCCAGGTTATTCTGAAGCTCTTTTTGCTCTTGCTCAATAGGATTCTTCTGTCCTCCTTTCAATTTCTCTTAATAAAAGAGTAGGATTGAGAGAACCATCCTGAGCAGTATATTATGGAAACCTGCAACCAATTTGAAACCAAAAATACTGGTTTATAAATAGAAGCAATGAACTCACTTCTAAAACGTGGAAAGATATTTTTGAATGCCAAAGCTGAATCTTTTTTCTTCTCTTTTTTTGCTTTTCCTTGACCTCTATCCTAAAAATTCATCATTGAGTAAAAATTGTTTGTCTATTCGTGGCAGTTGCTAAGAGTTTACGAAAGGAAAATCTAGATTTTAATTTAGCTTGGCCTCAGGTAATGTGTTAAATACACTTGGGATGCATATAATATGAGGTTTTAGTTTGTATAGCTCTTTTCTTTTTAAACTACAATGTTTAAACAATACTGCTTTTAATTAAGAAATCTGGCTTTATTAAAAGCCAGATCTGTGACTTATAACCATTTCTCTATATCTGCTCTCAATCAAGAGAAAAATAGTTTAATTTCTGTAGCTGTGTTCGTTTTGCATATGTTAAACGGATGCAATGTGCACCCAGGGCATTGCTTCAGAGACAGTTTTTTCCATAAATATGTAAAGTTTGCTCTTAAATACCAGATGTAGGTTAAGTGGTTCTTTAAAATAATAAACTATACTTTTTGGAACTATTTGACCTTTGAGTTGCCTCCCCCTTGAGTCTGATTCGAAGGTGGGATAGGAAAAAGGGACTAGAGTCAACTTTGGAGATGGGAAGTTGGACTGACCTGGGGGAGGGGAAAGGCAGAGAATGGAGTAGAGCAATGAGAGGAGGGAAGTAATTGGCCACTATTACACCGAAATGTTTTTGATTTGATTTTGAAAAAAAATAAGCTGTGCAGAAGCAATAAAGATGGTAGTTTTGCTGATGGGGGCCAGTTCCTGTTCACTCCTCTGAAGACAGTGATAATTCAATCAGGGATGCCCGCAGAGCCCACCAGGTAGTAGAGAAACTGCAAAGACATGTCACAGGACAACCTGCAGCCCTTTAAACCCAAAGAGGTTTTGCAATCTTTCCCCTTTCTTCTCGAAAACACCCAGCAGGTCTACAGAGTCTGAGCTCCCCAGCCTGAAACTCCTAACGTGTGTGAAAGAGATCAGATTGTCATTTCTTTCTTCGCGCAAACTGGTATGAATTCTCAAACAAAAACATAAGAACAAAGGAAATAGTTTTTGAATTTAGTCAGTCTGAAGTTAGCCTTTGACCATTTGATACATTCCACAATAAAAAGGAAGTTGAAGGGGAAGAGAAAAAACCCACCCCCCCTTTCCCCCACCCCCGAACAACAACAACAAAAAAAAATTCAAGGAGGATATTGGTAATGTTTTCCACATTTGAATTTTAATACATGAAACAGGCTATAAAACTGTGGCCAGCTGCAGTAAATAAAGTAGCAGTGGGAGGTATGCACCGGAAACTTCAGCACAGAGGACACTGGTGGGTGTTTCTTTCCAACTACACACCTTCGTTCGTTGTTCTGGAGTAGGAGCCAGTTGTAGTAACTTAAGACCCGTCCCAGGGCTAGTTCTGTTCTGAGCAAACCTCCTTTATAACTCTCCTCAATAATTCCTTCTGATTAAAGAACAGACAGCTTTGAATCCTCTTGACCTCCATCCTCTAGGCTTCCTCTCTCCCCGCCTTTCGAAAATCAAAACAAAATGGCTTGATAACTTGGAAGATGATAGAAGCATTTCTTTCTGCAGCAGCTTGAAATCGTGGTGGGGAGAACTGTGGTTCTGCCTCGGCTATTATGTTATCTCATTTAATTGCTAACATATTGTACTTAGCTTTTGATTCATAAAATGTTTTCCTTGGAGTTCTGGAGGAGGTCTTCAGTGATTTACTAAGTATTAGTATAATGAAAGGGATTTTTTTCACAGCAGCATGGCTCATAATGCTAGCGTGAATGTTGTATCCTTGCAGGCTGTCTAGATGATATTTGGCCATGCTCTTTCCTGCCCAGAAACCTTCCGTTATCTACAAAATAAAGATGAGTTTCTTAATCCAGTTTGTTAAGCCCCATTGCTGAATACCAAAAGCCTTAGCTTTAGCTATCCCAAGATGTAGCAGTTCTTCAGCAAAACCCGTCTGTGCATATTACCAGAATTTGCCGTGTACATTCTCATTAGGTAGTTCTTCTATGTCTATCGGGCTTAGCCTGCTCTACCCACTTCTCTCTGTCCGTCTCACTCCGGCCACTCTCAAAGCTCTGACTCAAATTTTGCCTCTTCCAAGAAGGCTTCCCTTGCTGCAGCCACCTATGATAGTCCATATTCTTTTCTACTTTCCGGAGCTCTGTGAGTCATACTGCTGGCTAGATGTTTTTCTTACCCAGTCATGTAAGACTATATATCTTCTGTAGGCATGACTTTTGCCTTACCACCTAGATTGTAAATTCCTCGAGTACCATGTATTATATGTTTGTTTTCCCCCCAGAAAATAAATCTTCAGTCAAAATGGGAGAAAGGAAACTACTATTTTCACACTGCATGACAAGTTGCCAGCCCCTCTGCTAGGTGCTCCAGAAACATTATATCAGGCACTCTTCCCAGGAGCCCTTTGAGGATGATAATGATGTCCATGTTAGCGTGGGCCTTAGAAGGTTTGAGGAGGCTCGAGTCATGAAGTTAGCTTTAAACTCGGATGCAACGCCTCCCCCTTCCCTGTTTTTTGTTTACTACCAGAGAGTAGCTATCGATGAACCTCTTCAGAACTAATTTTAGGGTGGTGAGAGCTCGGGACTTTCAAATCTTGATAAATGTTTCTTGATGAAAGGATGCCCAGGTACCTTGTGGCCAAGTTCTCAGAGCAGCACTTTACCCAAATGCAACGGTAAAGAATTTTTCCTCCCTTGCGGTGGTGTGTCTGATTAAAACCCACATTGTCTACACTTGTTCTTAAGCGTCCCCTGCCCCACCCCCCACCTGAGCTCTCGCCCCACCCCCACCCCCCACCAGATGGGGCTCTCTGCCCCATCCTGCAGAACCTCCAGGCTGAGCCGCTTGCCCCTCTCCAGCCTCTGGATGGTGCTTCTTCCAGTTGGTTCTGTGCGGCCACAAGCTGGAGCCGCCGGTGCTGGTACAGCTGTCAGAGTGCTATGAGCAAATGGAATACCTGGGCCGTCACATTGCCCGGAAGCTCAACATCAATTACTTTGACCGCTTGGCCAAGTCCTTCTGGCACGTGGTCCACCACCGACCACTGGGGGCCACCTTCAGCCCCGGCTTCGTGCAGCGCCAGACCCGCACGTACAGCAAACAGAGCCTGCAGTCTGACCTGGACGGGTGATTCTGAAGGCGGGCGCCCAGCACCGCGCCCGCCCCCAGGGCTACTGTCTCCCTTTCCCTGTGATCGCCCACCTTCACCCAGCCTTAGTCTTCCCCGCAATAAGGCTGCCTCTGGCTTCCAAAAGAAAAAAAAAAAGTATCAGACACTTAAGAATAGTGTAGCAAGAGGTGTAGTAAACTCTCCTTACTAGGGTCATGAAGTAGTACATTTTAAGTTATTTTTCTTACTCAAACCACCCACGTTTCTGACAAAATCAAAGCAGAAATCTCTGAATGTGAGAGAAAAAGGCAACAGGTGGGTTTGTTACTCAGCTAATCAGACACTGTTACCCAGATATAACCCCTCTGTGCCTCAGATATCTCCAGGGTTAATCCTGATATTAAATCATTAGGTTTTTATAAAT